AAACAAGGGAGTATGTAGACTAGTAACCCATAAGAAAATTGCGGTAAGGTGGTCCCAAAACCCTGTACAATCTTAATATGTTTCCAGTGGAAAATATTTTGTTTTGAGTGTTTATTTGTTTATTGTTCAGTTTATTATTTTTTACTTGATTAAATGCTTTTTTGTTGTATTAAACCATGTATGTTGCAGCTTAACAATAAAGAAAAGTCTATGAAAAAAATTATATAATAAATCTATCTGTAGTATGATTCCATATATATGAGCTGTCTGGAAAAGGGAAACAGAGAGACAGCAGACCTGTGGTTACCTGGGGTTGGGAGTGGCTTTGACTGCAAGCGAGTTCAAGGGAATTATGGCAGGGGCGGGTGATGAAAATATTCTCAAACAGGGTTGTCATGATCATTGTAAACTCTTATTGGCATAATTAGAATCATCAAGCTTACAATGGGTGAAATATATAGGGTGCTAATGATACCTCAATAGAGTTGCAAAAACAACACCAAAAAGCACCCTGGAGACTGACGTCAATAATCATGAGGTCTGATGAAGGGTACATCTGATGAAGGGTTCCTCAGAAAAGTTCAGCGGCATTACCACATGACCCTGCAATTCCTCTCCTAGGCATACACCCCAATGGATTAAAAACAGGGACTCAAACGAGTGTGTGTATTTCCTCTTAGCGATATCTGGCACTGTAGCATCTGCCCGTAGGAGGAGTGGGGTGTGTAGTCGAGGCTTCCATCAGAACGAGGCTCTGGGATGAGAGTCTAACCTGCCACCAGTTTGCACGCCAAGTATCTTGAGTGCCAGGAACAATGACCCTGCTTTATGAAAAGCCAGAGCACTGTGTGTGTGCTCTGTGTGTAATTCCTCTCCTTTGCCTCATGTCTGTAAATCTTGAAACAGTAAACTTGTTGGGGAGGACTCAGTGTTTATCTTTTAGGTGATCATCAGTCCTCTGTGAATATTAAAAAAGAACAGCCTAGTAATACGACGGCTTATCAATTACTTCCTGCTCCTGTCCATTACGTACACACAGAAGCTGTCCTAGACTCCTGCACGAGTCAAAGCAGAGCATAGATTTACACGTTAAATTCTCGTTTCCTTGTTTTGTTATAGAACTGTTCAAAATTCCTGGAGCAAAATGTTCTATTGAAGTACTTATGAGTCAGAGCCAGTGATTCGGGAGCTTAATCACTCCAGAACACCGCAGTTCTCCGTCATGGTCTGAAAAGCACTGCCTTTGTCTTCCTTTTATGCCTGGCGAGTGGGAAATGGCCTGGGTGTCTCGTTCCTTGCTTCTGATTAAATAATTCATCTGTCACTGTTGAAGCCCATGTGATTTGTCTTTTTTCCATCTCGCTTATTCTTTCCCAGAATGAAATTTCTCACTTCTCAGAGTGCAGGGTGGCATTGGGAACACAGTCCCGGGTATCAGGCTACTTGGGTCTGACCTGAGAACACACGAAGGGGCAGAGTTCCTTGGACCTTGGCCTCTGTGTCAGTGAGGTAGAGAGGCCGGGACAGGTGATCTCGTAGCTTCCCTCCAACTCTTAGAAAGCGGCATTCCTTTTGGTTCATTATATTTGGTATCCTGTTTTAACAGATGCCAAATTAACCTAATTTCAGTTCAGACTTCTTTTTTCCTATGTTAATCGCCGTTCTCTAGAGAAACAACCAATAGGATATATGTGTGTATGTGTCCATATAATTTTATTTTGATTTTGCAATTTGAACTGTATATATATGATAAAACGTTTATTATGAGGAATTGGCTCATGCCAATAGAAGCTGACAGGTTTCTAGATCTGCGTTCGGCAAGTTGGTATAATTCTAATCCAAAGGCTGGCAGGCTTGAGACCCATGAAGTTGTCGTTTCAGTTAGAGCCTGAAGGCAGGAAAAAACTGATGTCTCAGCTCAAGGCAGTCAAGCAGGAAGAATTCCTTCTTATTTGGGGGAGTGTCAACATCCAGGCCTATTCAGGCCTTCAACTGATTGGATGAGGCCCACCCACACTGGGGAGAGCTATCTGCTTTATTCTGTCTTATCCATCTAAATGCTAAACTCATCCCCAAATTCCCTTATGGAAATATCCAGAATAGTGTTTTTCCAAATATCTGGGTACCCCACTGCCCAGTCAGGTTGACACATAAAATTAACTGTCATATTTCTATAGAGACTGGCTCAGTGCTTGGTTAGTTAAATGATCATAAATGATGCTGCAATTTGAAAAGTCATAAGTCCCCTGAGAAAATGTATTCATGCATGGATTCCAAATAGACTATGATAAACCTGGACACAAAATCTTACCTGGTTTGCCCATGACCTTTTGTACCCATAAAACCTCACTGTTCCCCCTAAGCAGACTACATTAACCCCTTTCTGGTTTTGTGGACAAAGGTCCTGTTCCCCTTGTCATAGGTCAATAGACAGTTATTAAATTCATAGACATGATAGCCTGCTGAACAGGAAATCAGCTTTTTCTGGGGTTGGTCTCCTCAGATCTTCAAACTGGATGCCAGGAGCACATTTCTTTCCTAAGCTCCATGGGTCGATTCTCCAGCTAATAGACCTTTAAATTTTGCAAACAATTACTCCATTGATATTCCAGCCCTCATCCCTTCCTCTTTCTGGTTCCATTGGAAACTAAGGGAAAAAATGACTTGGATTACACAGGAGTCGTTCCAATGTGGAAGTCACATCAAGCAATTCACATAAACCATTCTCCCCAAGTTAATGTGATCCAACCCCAGGGAGGCAGGAGAAAGTCCTAGCCAAAATACACTTCTTGCAGAGACAATTGGATATTCATGGAATAATATGGCAGTGGTGGCCAAGCTTTGCAAAGCTGGCTGTGAAAACTCTAAGAGGAAGGTCTATTTGTGAGCTTGGAAGTGCTAAGGTATTATTTCCCATTGCCATGATTTCAGAGATCTTACAAAAATGTAGAGCTTTCCCATTCACTGGGTCTTATTGAAATTCTGGGAAACTGCTTCATTCTGTTTATTCTAGAAAAAAGGGAAGAGTCTCTGTGGATCTTTTTATAAAACAATTTCCTGTCTACCTTGGCTCACATCCTTATGAATTTTTTGTATTCACCTTCAGTGCAAAAGTATATTTTAGTTGATTCTGGCTTGGTTGGCTCAAGCGTACCTTGTTTGTCTACGTGTTCATGAAATGTCACTCAGTGACTCCTCTCTGCCCCGAGCACACTTTCTTCCTGTTCTTGTCTCCCACCCTCTGATTTCCCACCCTCACTCTCTGTTCGTGCCATCACCCTTTCCCCCTGGAAGGCTGTGTGAAATAGCAGTGACAGCTGGGTGTGCTTTCAATGCAGATTGCTACCTTTGTAGAGCCTTTTGCATTTAAGATCATTTCTAACATTGTAATAAAAACTTCGTCTCTTAGAGGAGCTCCGGAGATCCACCGGTGGGGGGAGGGGAGATTTTCTTTTTTTAGGGTTGGGCCCTTCCCAGTAAGCTTGAAATTAGACATACTGGGGACCTCCATCTCCATCTCAGCTACAAAAACATCACATATTTGACTCTGTCACTAAAAGGAGGGTACATTTGGGAGTTTTTATATAGGTGGAGTGGACAGAATTTCAGGGTGATGAGATGTGATGGGTGAGAAGAGAGCAATTGAAGACAATTAAGAATTTCTGCCCTGGGTGACCAGATAGATGGGCAGCAGCATTAGTGGGAAGTTGATTAGTCCTGTCTGTGGAATCTGAAGAACCTGCGGGACAGGTAAGTGAAGTACCTATAGACAGGTGTGTGAAGTACCTGTGGGACAGGTGAGTGATGTCCACAACCATCTGGGAAATTGAACCTCAGGAGAGAGATTAGTGTCAAAAGCCGTAGAGCCATCAGAAGGATGAGAGCAGAGAAGTAAGTTTGGAACTTGGAGACTTTAGTCAATCGATTCCCATTGAGTTCAAAAGAATAAAGCAATAATACTAAACTGGTTGTGTTCTTTATTTGATTAAATATGCTCATACATGCTAAATAATAAACTCATTATGTAAAAATGACTCCCTACAGATTTGGCCATTATATGTAAGCTGCAAGATATAGTTTATGTGGTTGGCTATGTATTTCTTGGATCTTAGACCCTAGAGAATTTGAGGAGAAAATTTATTCTAAAGCTAATTCTACATGTATCTCAATATTCAGTTAATAAAAAAATGCTTTCCTCTTTCTCATCCTGTCTCCTTGATGTTGCTTAATGCCTCATTTACTTCTTTTGCCTAATTTTTTAGAGACAAGAGCAGGCAGGTGAGAGACAACCTGTCTTATTGTATTTGCTTGGTGGCTTTGGTTATTTCTAGAATGTCATCCATGGGAGATCTGCAGCTTAGCTTCCATCCCTGGTGCTCATGTTACCTTTCAGGATCAAAAACTTATTTTTCAACATGATTCATCCTACTTAGTGGCTTGTGCTAATTATAGTCGATATTGACTTCATTGCATTTTAAGGGCTGTCTTCTCATCATGTTCCTTTCTTGTATTTGTAAACACTGGTTTGCTCATTTCATATTTCCCCTTCATTTATTCCAAGATTTATATCTCTGCTATGGAACTGGAATCCTTCTCTCTTTGGAATGGCATGTAAATCCTTTTGATCCTTCTCAACACTATTTCTAAACTGTCGAATCTTTTTATGATAACTAAGAACCGATTAAAAAATGCCAATAAAATATGACTAAACGGTGGGGCGCCTGGGTGGTTCTTTCGGGTAAGTGCCCAACTTTTGGTTTTGGCTCAGGGCATGATCTCATGGGCTTGAGATCCAGCCCCATGTCAGGCTCTTGAGATCCAGTCCCACGTCAGGCTCTGCACTCAGCGTGGAGTCTGCTTGAGTTTCTCTCTCCCTCTCCCTCTGCTCCTCCCCCACAGCTCTCTCTCTGAAATCAATCAATCAATCTTTAAATAAAAGACTAAGTGGTGAGTAAGCCTGCCCACACTTTCTGTATATAAATTTGCTAACATGAATTTACTGTGGTTTAGTCTTGCTAGGATTTGATTGAAGCTGCTCTGCGTGATTGTGCAGGCTACTCATGGCACAGTGGCACTTGGCCGCGGGGATGAATGCAGGCTGCTGGGCAGCTGGTACCATAAGCTCCAAGGCATGCATCTCCCCGGGGAAGCAATTCCTTTTTCTAATTTACACAAAGGCCCCGCATTGATTAGTGAAGTCCTGGATTGGACTTGATCATTTTCTATAACTTCTCAGCCTATGATGCTATCATCAAAGCGGGGGGAGTAGTACAGACCTTGTCTTCATGCGAGCACACACAGAAAGTCTGGAAGAATAAATAAATCTTGCCTTCAGTTTCCAGCTATACATTCCAGCCATTATAGAGTTCACAGGGCGTGTGCAACCACGGTGACTCTGCTATGCAATTAGCACCCTGCTCCCATTCTCCCCTGGTGCCAGACCATACTTGCTCCAATATGGCCAACATCTTATGGTCAGGAGGAAAGCCCCTTCTCCGTCAGACCTCCTATTTTCTCCTTCCGTCACCCATAACCCTTCTGTCCTTTTCTCTCATCCACCCCACTTCCAGGGTTCTGACTCCCCTCATGTTGGTTTGCAGGGATTCCATCTGGTCTTGTCACTGCGTGCCCTCTTGTTGATTCTTCACGGGGAGAGGAGCAGGGGTGAGCATAGAGAAGGGATGGGGGCAGCAGTGTCCCAATTGTCTCTTACGCTCTCCCCTGTGTCAGAGAGGCTAGAGGTCTGGGAACTCTATTTCTGAGACTCCCTTGCCACGAGGCTTCAGGAGGGGGCTTAGAAGGTGCGTCTGTGCCGGGCTGGGAAAGTTGTGGCTGCACCAAATGCAGGGGCTTCAACAGATGGATTTGCAGTCCCTTCCACATTCCTTTGATCGTTCTCAGTCCCCAGGTTGTGGACATCGGTGACCACTGACAGTGGTTTTCTGCATTTTGCTGACCTCTGCGGGGGCAGCTGCAACTTCCTGACTCACAGCTCTGGGGGCAAACCTGGAAATGAGGGGTGAACCCCTAATGCTCATTGTAGGAGACTTTGTAGGGAATTAGAGTTTTATCCATAACTCCCAAATATTAAGAACAACTGCCTTGCATTTTAAATATCGGTAAGAGTGACTTTGCAAATGACATATCAGATAAAGGGCTAGTATCCAAGATCTACAAAGAACTTATCAAACTCAACACCCAAAAAATAAATAATCCAGTCAAGAAATGGGCAGAAGACATGATCAGACATTTCTCCAAAGAAGACATATAAATGGCCAACAGGCACATGAAAACATGCTCCACATCACTTGGTATCAGGGAAATCCAAATCAAAACCTCAGTGAGATACCACTCACACCAGTCAGAATGGCTAAAATTTACAAGTCAGGAAATGACAAATGTTGGCAAGGATGTGGAGAAAGGGGAACCCTCCTACACTGTTGGTGGGAATGCAAGCTGGTGCAGCCAATCTGTAAAACAGGTTCCTCAAGAAGTTAAAAATAGAGCTGCCCTATGACCCAGCAATTCCACTACTAGGTATTTACCCCAAAGATACAAATGTAGTGATCTGAAGGGGCACCTGCACCCCAATGTTTATAGCAGCAATGTCCACAATAGCCAAACTATGGAAAAAGAGCAGATGTCCTTCAACAGAAGAATGGCTGTGGTATATATATATACAATGGAATATTACGCAGCCAACACAAAAATGAAATCTTGCCATTTGCAACAACGTGGATGGAACTAGAGGGTATTATGCTAGGTGAAATAAGTCAATTAGAGAAAGACAATTATCATATGGTTTCACTTAAATGTGGAATATAAGAAGCGGTGCAGAGGATCATAGGGGAAGGGTGGGAAAACTGAATGAGAAGAAATCAGAGAGGGAGACAAACCATGAGAGATTCTTAACTCTAGGAAACAAACTGAGGGTTGCTGGAGGGGAGGTGGGTGGGGGGATGGGGTAACCGGGTGATGGGCATTAAGGAGGGCACGTGTTGTGATGAGCCCTGGGTGTCGTATGCAACTGATGAATCACTGAACTCTACCTCTTAAACTAATGATGTGCTATATGTTGGCTAATTGAATTTTAAAAAAAAAGAGTGACTTCAAACAGTGGGGCCAACATCTTTGGAAATATCTGAAAAAGATAATAATGCGTGTGTTTTGCATTTACAACTTATAAGTTTGAGGCTTCCTTTCATTTATCATTGGCATGGAACATATTTACCAAGTAAAAGCTACCTAATTATAAACTCCTTGAGGGATCGAGATTATTCTTTTTATCCTATTTGCCACCTGTCCCTTTCTTGGGCCTTCTTCTCTTGGCCTAGCAACCTATGGCAATTCCTCCCATTCCCCAAATAACTTCATCACTAAATAAGTAAGGCCTTTTCTCTTTATCCTTTCTAATTAATTTTCTGTACCCAGATGTCTTAAGTGATATGGGACTCCCTGAATTTCCATTGTTTTTTGGGGATATTCATAAGGTTTATGGCCTGAAAGGGGAGATTGTGGGTCAAAAGCCTCTGTTAAGCAAAATTTAGGACACTTTTCTTTCAATGGCCTTTAATATGGTGGCATGCGTTATTCACACAGAATTCAGTATTTCCTTAATGCTCCTGACTGAGAGCACTTTTGCTCCATCCAAGATCACCGAAGACCTCCAGTCGCTAAATTCAATGGATGTGTAACGGGATGAAGAACTGTTTTTAGCAGAAGGTGACATTTCAAAATGGTTAGCCCTTTCTATTTCTGGCTTGGGACACCCGGGTCATCTTGGAGCAGACCTTCTTTGTTCTGGAAAGAGTCATGGGAGTTGCCCCTTTTAGTTCCTGAGCTGCAACGTTTTCAGGGGGAGTGTGCACTAGCATGCTTACTTAATTTTTCCTTAGGCAGGGGTTGGGTCCCTGGCTTGAGGTAGACCCCATGCCTTGACCATAGCTAAAGGTTTCAGGGGGAAAGAGCTTTCAGGGGGAAGGCTGCTGACACTAGAAACTTTTCTCTTTGTTGTTTTGTCAGGGTACATCATTAATTTTTGATGTAGTGTTCAATGATTCATTAATTGCATATAACACCCAGTGCTCATTACAACACGTGCCCTCCTTAATACCCATCACTGGGCTACCTCATCTCCCCACCCCCTCCCCTCTGAAACCCTCAGATTGTTTCCTGGAGTCCATAGTCTCTCATGGTTCATCTCCCCCTCTGATTTCCCCCCCTTCAGTTTTCCCCTCCTTCCCCTAATATCCTCTGTGCTATTCCTTATGTTCCATATATGAGTGAAACCATATGATAATTGTCTTTCTCTGCTTGACTTATTTCACTTAGCATAATCTCCTCCAGTTCCATCCATGTCGATGCAAATGGTGGGTATTCATCCTTTCTGATGGCTGCGTAATATCCCATTGTATATATGAACCACATCTTCTTTATCCATTCGTCTGTTGAAGGGCATCTCGGCTCCTTCCACAGTTTGGCTATTGTGGACGTTGCTGCTATGAACATCGGGGTGCATGTGTCCCTCCTGAATGCTTTTGACTGAGAACCCTTTTGGGGTGTCTAAGATCTTCCTCCTTGCCTGGCTTCTGAACAAATTGAGACATAAGACAAGAGAGAAGGGCAGATGGGAAAATTAATATTTTCCTTTACAACTAATTAAGGCTTGGCTGGAGGGCATGGCTTATCTACTGGGGAACTTGGCTTGCTAAGTTTTTACAGACGCATCCACCCAGGCCAGCCCCAGCTACCACACCCTGGGGGGCCTGGAGAAGCAAAGCAGAACTCCTGTTCTTGTGGGCAACTCCCTCTGAAGGGGAAGGAATAAATATGCATGGTGATTCCTCCCAAATTTACCACTCAGATAAGTCACTTTGCCTCCCCTGGGTTGAAGTAAATAAATGGGCAGAAAGATCCAGAAGGGTGGCCCTGGTGAACTCCTTCCTACCTCCCTTCCTGGAGGAAACCCCTGGAATAGGGAAGACGTGTCCCCTTGACATGTATTAGCATGACTAATGGAACAGAGAGAACTAAAACAAAGTCTGCTGGTGGGAAGGTATCCTGGGGTACCTGATTGTGGGGGGGATTTCCATGCACAGCGGGTAACTGATGTGGTCACTGCTTCTGTTCCCAAACACACCAGAATCATAAGGTTCTTGGGGAAAATGGCTGCGTGGTGTGTGTGTTACATGGAGTGGTACCTTGGCTCAAGGTAATAGTGAGGACACAGGCAATCGTGTCCCACATTGTTGGGCTGGCAGCAGCCTCAAATCCTTGGCTTCAAGGCTCTGACGTAGACCTGGTGGCTTTTAGCAGAGACACCACTGGACTGGCCACATCTCCTGCCCCTTCTTGGTAAAGTGACACTTCTTGGGATGGATAGCTTTCATGGGAATGTTAGAATGGGCTGTTGGCACTTACAGCTGGGAGCTTACTGTCCTTGTGGTTTGAATATCAAAGAAATGCCGCTTTTTGTACCTCAGGATGGTGCGATGGATGCATGATTTCTAGCTCCTTCCCTTGTGTTATTTTATTGATGCCTCCGCTGCATTTAACACCTGATCATACACGTAGCTCCTGGGTTCTCTTCACGCTGCCCTGAGTGCTCCGTCTGGCCTCCCTCACAGCTGAAATGTTTTCCTGATATTCCTCCTCAACGTGCCTCAATGCTTAATGCTCAATTCTCTCCCTCCTCGCCCTGGAAAGTCTCTCTCCCTCTTCTGGTCCTGCACCTGCTCTCCTCCAATCATCAGACCTTCTGTAACCAATCACTCCCTGCAACCATTGAAGCATCTCAAAATCAACATGTTACAATCCCGAATTCATAATCTTGGCCAAATTGGCTTTCTCACTCTACTCTCCATCTCGATTCATGTCATGATGTTCAGACAATTGAATGAGTTAGAAATTTCGGGGCACCTCTGACTCTTCCCCCCACATTGAGTTAGTCATCAAGACCTGACCCTCAAAAAAAAAAAAAACTTAAGCTTTTCTGGAATCTATTAGCATCTCTGCTCCCATCAGTGGTGTGTTGGTAAGCGATTAACAAACAGCTCTGAGGGGGAGCCTTGCTTTGTAGCATTTGCCCGATCCATGGCATAAATACTCCCACCATAGCTGATTCAAGCCATCCAAGGT